AACCAAAACATGTCAATGAATTAAACTGCTAAGAATCACAAATATGGAAACACCTGATCAGACAGCTGGATGATCCAAGGTACAAGCCAAGAAGCCCTTGACACTCTAAGAGAAATGAAAAAACACACACAAGTGCAAGTTTATAGGGAGAGGTAACTAGAGTTTCAATGCAGGATATCTGTCCCAAGAAGTAAATCAAAAATGTTTCCATTTTGAACCACAAATGAGAGACCACCTTTTCAATGTTTATTCATCACAGTCTTGGATATATCCAAGCAACATAGAAAACAATGGTCTTGAAAAAACCATTTTGCAGAAAATTCTGGCACAGATTGAGAAGTAGAGGTGAAAGGTCAGTTCTTCATTAACTGAACCAATTCAATTAAAATTCTAGTATTAAGTTGATAATAATAAAAAAAGCAGATCCTCCAGATAGTTCTGTTAAGGAACTAGGAACTCAGTTGCAGTAAAATTAAAACTCTCTGAATCAAAATTTTTACATGGATTTGGCATTATACCATGCTTAGTTCAAAAATTACCCATAATACACTGGTAAGAGAAAACATGAATAAAATCTAATGAACGACAAAACACACAAGTTGCCTTAGGTATTTTTATAAAATAGAACAAAAATAATTTTCATAATTCCAGTGCCATTAAAAATTACTCTTACAAAGAACACCTATTACTTCTGCAGCTATTAATATAACACGGCCATGCACAGGGCACAGATTCACAAAAGAACTACACATTTTCAGAAAGGAAAATTTGGCCAAGCCAAGAAAACACCTCTGAAAACATAGGCCAAGCCTAACAGGTTTTCCACCCCTATGTTTAAGCTATTATGTATACATTGTCTTGTTCATTTGTATTCCTCTAAGGGAGAGTAAAACAGAGAGAAATGTATGGCAGCATGTATCTTAACTCCCTACGCTGTTTTGGCTTTATAAAAGACCTAGGGAACCCGGATCCCAGCGCTGAAGTTCAGAATTAGAAACAAAACAAAAAACGTCTACCATTTTAAACAGCACCCAGTCCTAAAAACCCTGCAGTCTACACTGCACTATTTCAAGTAGTTTATTTTCATATTTTATTTTTTTAAAGGGCTTACAGATGTGTGCAATCTTGGTTTCTGAAATGTAGCAATAAATGCACTTCAATTGGGTAGCTACACTTCCTGTCACTAAAAACAACACAGCTTTTTCTACCACAATGGCAAGGAAGTTAAAAAGTAACCTCACATTAAATACATGTTTTGAGACTTTGAAAAAGCAGTGTAGTAGCTAAAAACAAAAGACTTGAGATTAACCTTCCTAGGAGTGACCTTAGTCAAAGATGCAAGCAAAGGCACCAAAATACTCTTCAGGAACTCATGCTTGCCATGAAAAAAACAAGGTGTAATTTCATACTCAATGTACACAGCTGTGACAGCAAAGGAAAGAAGAGATTCAATGCTAATTTGACCAAGTAATTTTCCAATCAGACATAACTTTGCATTTTGGGAGGAAAATTTTAAGGTAAGTCACCTTAAACCCCATAACTAGGAAGAAAATTAAGTTTTGTTGTTGTTGTTGTAACAGTTAATAGTAAGGAGACGAAGTTCTCTGTCTCCATTACACAGTCCTCCCTGATTTCTGGTTGTTTGAGAGAGGTATTTTGTTGGCTGGTTGGTTTGCTTTGCTTTTTTGACATTTTCTTTGTTCTGTCATCAACTAAATGGATACCCAAGGATCCCAATTTATTCGATGCATGCAGGCCTACACAGCGAACTACTTTACCTTTTAGGAAACCGAGTATTTCTCCTCAGTGTATGCTGAAGTATCAAGCTGAGGAAACTTAATGAACTCTCAGTTGCAGGGCCAGAGGACAAGACTGCTCTGAAGATCCCTTCTACAGAGGCTGAGCTGCAGCTCCGCTGTGCAGACTCGTTTTCCACAGCTCCTGTGTCAGTGTGCATGGACAGTGTGCACTGTGCTGACGCAGATCCCCACTCTGTGTGGTCATGGACTGCTATCCACACCCTCGAGGGAGAGCTTAAATGCCTCAGATAATCCATCATTTCAGTCACAGTACAGGAAAATTTTCCATAAAAACCTTTTAAGTAGCATTCAGATTTCAGTGCATTATTTAAAATTTATTCCTGGACTTCAATTCCCTTTACACCATGTAGCCACAAAACCACATTCCTCCCCACCCCTAAGAATTTGTTTCAACTAAAATTTTAGACTTCTGGCCAATTTTTTCCGTAGTGTACCACAATGTATTGGGCATCTTCTTCATCAGCAAGTAAACATCCTTGCTGTAAAAAGCTCCTGCCACATTACCAACAAGGCTGAGGTCAGATCAAATCACTGCAGAGATTGGTCACCCACACTAAAACAGCTGATGCTAACCTCAAACTATGGCTTGCATAGCAAATGTGTCTAGATCCCTTTCTATGACAATCTTCTGAGACACTTATAATAGGGAAAATAAAGCAGTTTGGGAGGAAAGAATGTTAAGTGTACATTAGGTGGGTGAATGGACTTACTGCGTGTGCATTTCATTTTTTAAACATAAATCATCATCACATGTGGCAAAAGCAAACCTTCAAGAGTAGCAAAATATTTAACTTAAGTTCTTCTGTAAAAATAAGTGTGATAGTCCTTATACCACAATTGCTGGCAAACAGAATTACATTGATGATTATGTAAGGGAAATAAAACCACCTTCTTCAAAAAGCTTTGTGATCATGCCCACTGAGCAGTAAGAAACTGAGACGAAATTCTAACAACTATAGAAAACAATTTAATATTATCTTTTCTTTTAATCCCAACTGGTGTATTCTCATTCTTTGCTACACCCACTTGAGGCAACTAGGGAAGTGCTGAATGACAGCAAGAGATGTTTGTGCTTTCAACTCCTCCATGCAATCTTTCCTAACTTTTAGGTTAACTCTTGACCCATACTGAGTCACAGTGGCTATTACATTTGACTCAGACTGGGTGGAGAAATTTCTGCAGGTGACAGAAAGGCTCGAATCAAATGCTTAACATGTTAGTTTCAATGCAAGACAGCTTCAGGCGGCAGTGCTGACAAAAGCAGCAGTTCCACCTCCATTTATCCCCTAATGTTTGTTACTGCTTACCTGATTAATTTTCCTTATATCAGCAACACCACCAGTTTAGTAACATTAATCAAATGAGTCAAATCTAGATGAAAACAACTAGTTTTTTCCCTCTAGAAACAGACTGTCTGGGTACAACTCTCCCTCACCACTTAACATCATTAATGCAAAAAAGAGGAAAAATAAAGACAAATCTTGCTCTGTTTGATAACTAACTGCATGCTATTGTGCATGCAGCTCCTCTGTCATTGTGAAGACTATAACCAACCAGCAAAACCACAGTAGAAAAGGCAAGGGTTTTTTGGCATCACTTTACTTGGGTATTCAAGCATTGGCACACTCTGAATTCCAAGTATATTGACCTCAGTAAAAGCCTCCTGAAAAACGTTAAAGACAGGAGGAAAATAAGGGTGATTTTACTTAGTATTAGACTGTTCAGAATTTCATGGCATGGAACAACCCACCAAATGGATATACACAGGCACCGAGGGCATCTAAAAGACTGTGAGAACCTTATTTCTGAGACTAATGCACATAAATCAACAACATCACATGGCTAAATATACTTATTTACTAACAGAGAATCTGCATCGTCATCATCATCAAGTATTTTATAGTCACTTGTACACCCTAGTATTACATGCACACCTAGGAAAAATGACACACAAAATAAACTGCTAAGTAAGAAATTAGCTATTTAGAGAAGTCTAGAAGTATCTTCAAGCTTTAGCAGACCTGTACATAAATAATGTTCAGGCTGCTACAGCCTCACTGGTTATGAGGACTATAAGATATAAAAAAATATATTAACAATTCCATTTGTATTTTAGACCATTTTTATACAGATCCATTGAAAATGCTAGGGCACAAAAGCAACAACACTGCACCCCCAAATTGCTATTCAGCAACGTAAAGTGTTAAGCACCAATGTGCTGAGAGTTATTTACATGCTGGTGTGCTTTGTTAAGTCAGTGCAGAAATATATAAAATATGAACAGATGTGCCATGCAAAACCCTAGATTTGGGATTAAAGTTAAGGATTCATTATTTCTTAAGTCACTAAATATAAATCCACACACAAGCACTGCCCCCTCCCCTCTGTCTGCCTTTGAAGAAAGTTTGGATACAATTAAATTCTTCACAGGAGATTAAACAAAAGCGAAAAAGAATAAAATTATAGAGCAAATATAATAATAATAATAATGGCCAGTCTTCGCGAGCGAAGATCCGGGGAAGGTCTTTACACCTTCCAGCCTGCGCATTGGATTTTTTTTTTAGGTGAGACACAGTGTGCGCGGAACTGAGCCCACCCTTTAATCCTAAGGTTCATCTGCCGGGGCCAAGCGAGCTTGGACGGTGGCAGCGAGGTCCTTAGGACGTAGGTGGGTTGCCTTTAAGGGCTAACGAGCCCCACCTGCCCGGGAGTGGCCCTGACCGGGAATTGAACCCAGGTCTCCACAGTGATAGCGCGGCGCCTTTACCACTGGACCACCAGGGGCTCTAGAGCAAATATAAGTTGCTTTCAAAACAAACTATGGCATTTCTCCAGTTATTTATTTTATCCTAACTGAAAGGTTCTTATTTTTAATAGCAATGCTTGCTTCCCTCCTGATTTGTGATTGCTGCTTCCTGTTCACAGGATCCAGACTTGATGAAACTACTGCTACGAGCCATCAAAACTACTTACTGTAAAATGCCACATCTTTTTAAGATTTAAAATGACAAACTAACAGTGACTATGTCATAATTAGAATGATATAGACTTGAACAAAATATGTATGCAAGTTGTTTGAAGCAGTTTCTTAAATAACAGAATGACAGCGTGTCTATAGATGTAGCACCTTTAAATAATCGGTTTATTCAAAGCAGTTCTGGGAAGGATTCATTCACGTACCCGTATCCAGCTGTTGGCCTTCAGTTCCACAGGGTTCTGTGGCTCACTGCTGTACAGACAGCAGAGGCACCACATCAGAGTCTTCTGGCTTTCATCTGCAGGGAAAAAAAACAAAGATACATACATTTGGAGGGAAAAGGAAAAGCCACAGACAGAATTACACACAACAATCCCTATTCATCCACAAAACTAAAGCCCTAAATATCAGCCTCAACTCACAGTGCTCCCATTCCATCAGATGCACATCACACATTTAACATTATTCATAAGTACACCTTGTGTAATCATTTCCTGCAACAGCAGTTTAAAAGGTATCGAAGTGTTCAAAATCTATACAATAATTAGATGGTCTTAAGAAACTCGCAGGACCTAGTAACTCATTTACAGAAATAATGCCTGAGGCTATCATCAAAGAACTTTCAATTCAGTACCTAATATCATTAATAATAAATAATGATCAACAGTATTAAAATAGTTATTACATTGTGTCCAAAGCTTGCACAAACTAAAGTATGCTCAGTTACAAAAAAATTAAGTTTGGGAAGTATGAAGTCGTTCATACCTAAAAGGTAAAATATCAAGTTATCCGTAAAAATATATTAAAAGTCCCCATGTCTCAGGAAAATGACATTTCTGCAGACAGCAGAGTAGGTAAATGCTGATGGAAAAAAAAGTCCTATTATGATTTTCTGCTCAGGATCAGATTGGGTTTTACTTAATTCTAACCCACTGTTGGAAATGAGTTCTCTTCTGTAAGAATCTACTATAATGAGCAATACTGTCACTGCTCAGATGCACAGATTTTGTAACAGAGGAGCTGATTATTTGGAGTAAGCAGCTGAAGAGCCATTTCACTTATGATTATTTCCCAAAACTTTGTTTTCAATAGGTTTTTGTGGTTTTTTCTTATATTCTTTGGCAGATACAAAGAGTTGCTACTGTGAATTTAATCCTAGAATGAAACTGCATGATTGAAATGAAAATTCTGAAAACTGGATGTAGTATTGTAGCCCTGACATAATATCCACTTAGTAAGCAACACCATGATTGTAAAAAATAATAAAAACAAGTGATACCACATGAGGATTAGAAATTATATTATGAGACAATTTGATTATCAAGCCCAAGGAGTGATTTCTTTTGTTTTCTGTGCATTTGTTATCCAGGATGTAATAAACAGTGTTATTTAGAAGTGCTTTGTTGGGAAAGCCTGAGGAAAAAATAAAATCTCCATTAAGCAATGCCTGCATTTTCACCAGGTGACCAGAGATGTTAACATTGATTTAAACCAGTATTCCTCAATAAATGTCCAACAAGCCCGTAGGCCATTACTGACCTCCCACTGACTAACATCTCTGCAACAGAAATGGTTTCCCAAACATACACTTCTAACCAAATACAACTTGGGGTATTCTGACATTACGTGTTTGGAGCTTTTTTTTAATAAGGATTTTTACAAGGCTAATAATTTCCTAGGTTGTGTAAGACTGAAGTTAAAGGACATATATTGCATACTGCTCAGCAGAAATTCAAAGTATCCTTACACTTTGATTGTAAACATACCCCAAGAACATTCAGAGATCAGCACTAATGGGCAACTTTATCTCCTTCAAAAACATTTCACCTAAACTCTGTTATGACATTATAAGGGAGGAAAGGTAAACAAAGAGTGGTTTATTTGTTTAAACCACTAAATGATAGCCAATTTCTTCTTGGAAAATTAAGATTTTAAACACTATTAATTACTAATGCTACAATATGGCCTGATTATAAAGTCTGGCTATTGAGAAAATTTTCAATTTCATGAATTACACAGAAAGTGACACAGAAAAGGAAATTAAGTCCAAATCTCCTATCTCGAACAACATACACACAGTTCAAGTATTCCTTCTTTTGACTCACCTGGTTTATACTGTATGCCTATAGTATGTCAGGCACTCATTTTATGTAAGCTATGGGGCTTTTTTGACTTAGAAAAATTAAAGAGGTGAAGAAAATACATATAACTGCTTGAACAGACTTTCTGTGAGAAGATTTTTTGCTATACATGATGACCTGTTACACACTATAAAGTAAATTGCATGTATTGCTGCCGGTCAGAAGTGTAAATCAGTATGACAAAAACAAAAATGGTGAAAACAAATCTCAGATAAACAAAGTTGGCACACTTTGACAGCATGAGTAGATTCACACAGATTCACCTGGGTGGATAAATTCAAATCAACCCGGGTGAAACCAAGTTATACTGGTGTCATAGCTTGTGCCAACAGTTTCCAAAAAATAAGGAACCGGAACAGCTCCAAACTTTCCCAGTCAAAATTACTTTTTGACCAAAACTGAAGTAGTCTCCCAGAGATCTGTGAAAGCAGCCCATAAAATCCTCTTGCTGAAGAACCCAGTGACACACTCTGAGGGCCACACTTGGGTTCTTTTCACAGTTTTCTTTTCAAAACTGCTCTGGAACAGTGGGTGAAAGATGTGAAGATTAAAATTAATGTAATTATTTTAACTATCTTAAAACAATTATAGCAACTGCAAAAAATAATGACATCAAAAGACCAAACACAGAGCCACAGAAAACTTACTGGTGCATTTTTATCTCCCAGTTTTCTAGCAACTGTGTGATCCCCATGGAAAACATACCATCAAGATATGCACTGAAAACCATATCAGGATGCAAGCTAAGGCATTTGATCTTATTATGGTATGAGAGAATGCTGACTATCCAAATAACCAACCGATTAATATGTCCAGAGAAATAAAATTAAAAACTCTCAGTGGTGGAAATTACAGCCCAAAAGAGGTTACCAACTATCTACTGGATAGGTAGGTAACGTGTCTCCAACTAAGGGAAATAAAAACTATCTCCAACTAAGGGAAATAAACTTCTGTATAGGAAATTCAAGACAGATTGGAAGTTGTTTTTCTAAAACAAACAAAACCAACCAAACAAACCCCAAGAAAATCAAAACAAACAAAGAAAAAGGAATTAAAAAACCCCAAACCAACCAACCAGCCGAAAGCCTAAACCTTTATGATCGGTCAGATTGCACTTCTTTCCTGCCAATCTCAGAACAAAATTTTGTTTAAAAAAGGGAAAAAAGAAAAAAGGGAATGTTATTCTCACAACACAGTGTGGTCTCAATCATCCTAAGATACAGGCAGTTTTTAAAAACCTGTCATGAGTGCGGCCAGATGGAAGGAAATAAACTCTAATCTTAGAGCCAGAAATATTATTTTTAGAGCTCGTTGTAAAATTTTATTGAAATATATCAGAAAATGTTGATTAGCTAAACTGAGCTTTCAGTGGAAATGAATGCACCCACAAGCAGGCACGTTCACACATATCCTGACATACAGAACCACCAAGAGATCCTCCAGCATTTACAGTGTTAGTCTGGGCTCAAAACTCAAACCAGGAGGGTCCTACTGAGAAGATAGTCCCCCAGCCCACAGAAAAAAAACACTGGAATTCCTTACCGAGGCTGAATTCCTCATGTATCCCTTGTGGTTTAGGACCACGAGTACAGCCATGAGATTTTCTTCAGTCGTGCTTCCCTCACATTAGCATTCTAAATAAGGTTACCTTGGGCACCTCCTGCCCAGGAGTGTTTATGAGGAGATTATTTTCCCTTAGAGGCCATGCTTCCTGCACTCAGTGGTCAGCCATGGCAGCTTCCAGCACCAACAGACACTCATTTAGGGTGACAGGTATTGTGGTTTGGACATGATACAGAAATATAAGGTTTTTCCTTCTCCATTTATGAGTATGAAAGACTGAACTGAACAAAATTAGTTCCTTCTACTGCGAGGGTGGCCTGGAGTCAGACACATGCCTGAATGAGCTATTTATCCAAATGAGAAATTACATGAAACCCACTTGAGAGTCAGCATCTGCCATAGCCAGCCCTATCTTAAAGAATATCGTCAGAACTGGTGCCAAACAAAACGAAAAACTGCTGAATCTGAGACAGAGCAGTCCAAAGAGCGCTCAGGTGGCTCTAAGAGGAGGAAGTGGTGGGAATGTCTAAGCAGACATCTCAGGTCTGTTGGTGTCAGAAAATTTCCTTGATTCATCTTTAAGCTTTAAAATGAAGGATTCCATTTTTAGCAAGTAAAGTTCTCTGAACAGTTGCTTGCCACTTTGAGACAAAACCAAAAACCCTGTAGTAAAACTCCACTCTCAAGCAAACTTCAGATGTAACAATCAACCCGCAGAAAAAGTGCTTTTGCAGCTTCAGAAAATGCTGAAGGAACACAGAAAAGAGCAAAGTAGTAGAGGAAACCGAGAACATATTGCTGGGATTGTTGTGAAAAGGAGCCAAAAGCAGACACAGATGGATTTCAGCTTTGATGAAAAATATAGACTAAGGTACTTTCTATTAAACAATATATTGTCAGCTCAGAAAATTTAATGGTCTAAACACCTGTATATTCCAAACAAAAATTTAGAAGAAAAGCATGTGTGTAATTGTAAACGTCAACAGCTAAGAACATTCTCAGAAACTATGATTAAAAGGGAAACCTTTCTGTTGTGAAAATACATCTGTAAAGTAGGAAAAGGCTTTTCAAACAGCACACATTTGCTGGTCTGCAAAAGTGGTCTGTGTGGACTGTGTTTAGACAGCGCTCTGTCTGTGGTTCCTTCCCAAATTTTCCTTTTGGAAGAGAAGTGCTGACATTACACACATCTACCCTGTTTTTGCAGACAAGTTCATTCTGCCCGTGCTTGGAGCTGTCTAGAAGGCAAAGCCAATCCAGCAGACACACAAGTGCTTGACTTAATAAGCCCTTCCAGGTGAACGCAAAACTGTCTTTTCCTGTATTCCCCAAAAGGAAGCATAAGAGCAGAAGAGACAAAATGTGACTTTTTTTTTTTTTTTTTTTAATAAGAGTAACAGACTGATTAAAGCTTATTTTAAGGGGTTCACAGAGAAGCTCAGAATTAGTTTCTGCTTAAAAGTAGATCCCAAGTAATTTATCAAAATATCAACATCTCAGTTCCTGGAAAAGGCACTAGAACTGCTGGTGAGGTAGCACAAGGAGTGTCTCCTCCCTCCCAACGGCTTTCCTGTGCCCAGTTTATTTTCTCTTCTGTATTCTCACCCACACACATATTCACTACCAGTAACAGCATTTTGGTTTTTTTCCTATGTCACCACTTTACTGTTTTAATTTTGATTCCATCTGCATTTTCATTAGTTGAGGATGGAGAGGTGGGGAAAATACACATTCAAAATAAATTCAATAAAAACAAACACAATCATAACTTAGTAGGACTTTACATTAATTAGAAAAACATAAGTATCAGAAAAGTCAAATTTCCTATATTAGCTTAAATAATAGAATATTCTGATACGTAACTGGAAGAGACTTCTGTTGAAAGTAATTTGAGACCCTAGCAAAACGTAATCAATACAACAAGAAAATAAGAGTGGAAATCATGATGCACCTAAACATTCACTGGGTTTAAAACTACTCGTCCCAAGTCAAGATTCTGTAACTAATCCATGAAATTCATTAGATCCAAAAGCAAACTTAACATTTCTCAAAGCCAGATATTTTAAATAATATGGCCAGCCTTTTCATCTCAAAATTTTACTTCAGCAAAAAAAGAATGCTGTGGTTTTATGGAAAAACATTATAGTCTGTAACAAGTTATAGTATGTTAATTTCTCTAGAATTAAGTTTATGGAACTGCTACAGAAATATCATTACGCACTCTTACCATATCCTATAACAAAAGGATTCCAACAGAGCCTTCCTAGAAGCTGCCCAATTAAAGGGAACTGCTGGATCGCTGCAACTGAACCCTGCTAAAACATAAAAACAAGCAAAAAGATAGTAAATATACCGCACATCAAAAGTAGATTAGGAGAACCGTTAATGATACAGACTGTCATAAATTACAATCCCAATGTGAAATGGTGTGGAAGCAAAACACCTGCAGGCATGTAAAAAAAGTAGAACTTCCTAAAATTTGCTATAATGTCATAATTCAAGTAAGTTAAAAGTTAAAGTAAGTAATTTCCTTACCTAATACTTAACTACGGTAGAAAATTTGTTCATTTCCCTCACATCCAGCAACCAGAACAGTATTAGTAACCAGGATTCCACAGTATGAAAGGCCTGATGAACATACATTTTTGTTGATCCTCACTGCTTTAATACAGTCTCTAAGGCACAAAACTAAGTATCTTTGTGTTACTTTTGCTTGCTTTCTTTAATTTAACTTACTCAATGACTAGCCAGTAACAAACTGACATTTAACTTCTAACCAAATAGAAAGCAGCTTCACTATAAAAGTAATAAACAATGTAGTCTATATACAATCCTGTGTAATCAGTCTTATTTTTCCATTTTTGTAGCTTTACTACCTAATAAATGAAGGCTTTGAAAAATAGTGCTGTGCTGAGATAACATGCATAACATGATAACCATCTCCTGCTACTGCAATAAATTCCTTACATTTGCCTCACATTTGGGGCTAGACCTAGACTTTCTGGGGCCATATTCACAAGGTCCATTTTCAGGCCAAGCCTCAGGTTACTTGAAGTAGCAATGCTCTTTTTTTTCCATCTTAAGAAAAAGATACATGGGAAGAAACAGCACTCCCCAAAAATCTTTTATTTAAAATTTACACACAGTTCAGAAGTAAACCCAACCCTGAAGTCTTCACATAAGAATAATATTAAAAATGAGTTCTTCCATAAGAAGCAAGCTCTATGCCATAATGCAGTATTTCTAAAGCTAATTATACTAAACATATACACTGAAAAAGCCACGCTCAGAAAAACAGAGAAGCAACTAAACATATGAACAACTACGCTTACTTTTATAAAAACACCTGAGTGAGGGCAGACAATAGTTCAAGTACTAAGCAGCATATGTCAGTGGTCTGACATGCTGCTGGAATTCCCTGTGTGTGCCACAACACTGGGGTTAACATGTCACCAAACTCTCTAAGGTTTTAAGGATCAGTTACAGATTTACACGTTAAGTCCTTTAAATCATCCAATTTATGACCCGACCACCAGAATCAAATTCTTGTCTATTTAAGAGTTTTGTTAAGAGGCTAGAGCATTGGTTGGGAAATCTCACATGACATCAACCAATCAAAAAGAAAAAGCTCTTTCCACAGTAAATCAGGGAAACAGGAAGCACGCTCCTGTTCGCGTTACCTGTGACTGTTTCCCCAGTTTGCCCCTCTGATCCAGCAGGACATTAGGTCAACAACACAAACTTCTTTGCTACTTGTAGCTTCTGTTTTCATCAAAACATGGTGCAGATTGTTTTGGAGGGTTTCTTCAAACAGGTCACTCTTCCCTCTAAGGTTACTCACCACATCTTTTAAAGTTTCATAAAGCTGGTGTAGAAACTCCTGGAGCTGGGGCAAGTGAAGGCACACATCTTTCTGGGATTCCAGGGTAGTGGCTTGACCCCATTCAATGGCTTTATTCAGCCAATATTCAAAGTTCAGTTTGGGCACTGTAGTGTCCTGGGCCATTACACAGTCCTGAGAAAGAGATCATAACTCCACGTTAGGCAGCAGTAAACACCGTCTTCAAACCAAGCATGAAAACAGGAAGAAGGATTTATGCTAACTTTTTTTGTGTTCACAGGTGAAAGTGGGTGTAGGGGGTGTCTGTGTTTACATCTTATAAAGCTGGTAATTTTATTTGTAGTATAAAGAGGGTAAACTACTAACCCCATGATGACAAAGTAGAAAAGGGGGCACAATAACCAAATAATTATCTTAGAATGTACCACCCAGATGTGTCTTAGGCTATTCTCATCTCAATTTGTCATCATCAGTATCTCACACAGAGAATACCAGAATAACATTGTGTGCATTTGTTTAAACGCGATGCATGATGACAAACCGAAAATGTCTGTTCCAAGACAAATTAAAGTGCTGAGACTCAATCAAAAGAAAGAGGTTAGGAGGCCTTTGCTCATTGTAACTTCTATATTTCTAATTGATCACTAGCTTTAAGTGCAAAAAGAGTTTTCTCCTCAAAGAAAACTAAAAAAATTAAATATTTCAGCTCGGTTGTTCTTTCTGCTACCATACAAAGGAGAAAGAAAAAATACAACCATATGCAGCTTTACATAAAACTCAATCCTGAATAAAAGCTTCACCAGATATGATCAATATCCAATGGCACATTTCACTGTAAAAAATGGATCTGTGAGAGATAAGCACTATCACCAAGCCAGAATGTTAAAATCTAAGCAAACTGCCCCAGAAAAAAATACTAAAAAAATAAAACAGGCCATATTTTTTTGAGCTTTATTATTATATTTTTCATTGACAGAAGAACAGAGAATAGCACAGTAGGCACTACAACAACCTTTAAATCCTTCTGAAAGAAACCTATAAGCTGAAAGAGTAAATGAGCTCTTTAAATCACTAGCAAATTCAATCATTTTTTTCTGTCAAAACTGTAAAGACAACAGTCAATTAACATAAACGTGGTGGCACTTTCAGAACAGAATTGTTGCCCACCTGGAAACAACTTCAAGCACTCATAGATGACACAGAAATCAGCACATGTGTATCTTTGTAAGCTACAAACTAAAAGAATAAACCAGGACCTCCGCAGCAGCCCTGCAAACCAAGTTTGCTTTATACAGCCAGCCTTACAATCACAGCATTTGTACAGCATGTGAACCTGAGCCAGAAAAAAATCTGAAGATCATTAATAAGCTTGATTAATGTCTATGAGTAATACATAAATAAATACCCCACAGTGAATTACAGCTATTATTTGAGTTTGAATCCTGCCCAGCAAAAAAAAAGAAGTGAGATAAAGCTGTAGGATTGCTAGAGGACAATGCAAATTTGCCCTAAAGTCACACAAAGCCAAGTAAGCAAAGCCACTGCTCTTATGTTCTTTATTACACTCCCATTTCTATGTGCAACTGTTGCTGTCAGCAGAGTTCTTAAGGGACTATGCAGTGCCAGGATCTTACTGGTCTTCTGTGAGTATCAGAACAGGCTACGAGAGCCTCCATCACAATAGCTGGCTGAAGTGACACAGATCCCAGCAGCAATTAGCCATCAAACACACTTATCATCACAGGGGCATAAAAAAAAAAGACTTCTAGAACAAATTAAAGCCATGAACTGAACTCACACATGTGAATAAATTAATGAGCCTATCTGATCTTCCCAGATAAGACTAATCGTCCAAATAACTGAAAAATAAACCCCCTAACAAAACGGCTCCTAAAACTTTTAGGAAAGGATAAAAGAAGGAAAACCAAAACAAATGAAAAAGAGGAACCAGCAACACTGAAGCATTTTAGGACCAGTCACATGAGTCGATTCTGTGCTAACAGGGGATACGAGGTAAGCAAACCAAGCAGGTTAAGCTCATACACTGAGTACCCAGTACCACTATTCCAGTTTGCAGAATGGCACAGCCATCTCAGTGTGTCTTTTTCCAGAAGTCTGGGAGCCCAGCTCCACCAAGGTGTTTTATCTCCCTTCTTAATTACAGTTGAATAAACTGGATTGCTGGTCAGGTGAGACTCCTTATCAATTCCCCAGCCTGTCCAGAGCCATTCCTGTATCAAAAAGGCTGAGTTGTATGTTATTCTTCTTTATCTTCTACTACTGAAAAAAAAGGTCAAAAATGAGAACATCAGCACAACTCATGAAAGCAAACCTTAGAAGTGTATCTATTCTATATAATGCTAACTGCAGGTGTGCACTTTTTACTATGTCTGAGAGCTAACTCCCTCAGGAGATCTGTCCTGAGTGTCCTGGATACAAGCAAAGCAATAGACTTGCACTACTCACTAAGGAAACAAACTAGTTCTACGTTCAGTGCTATTCAAAATCTCCACCCAAAATGCAGTCCATTTTCCACAGTTGTCTTGTATGAAAGCACAAGCAAAGGAAAAAAGCCTCCAACTATATATTCTAGAGTTCAGAACCTATCCTGGACCAGGATAGTTTCCTGGACTTGTTTCTTTCACATAATTTTCTGATGAAAGTGAAAAACACTTTTCTGTTTCTAAAATAGAGTTTAGAAATTTTAGCTGCAGTCCAATGCTCGATTCATGGACACATTCATGGGCAAAAATGGAGGAGTTTTATGCCATTTCTGAAGTGGATTAAAGGACAAATAAATATATTTTTGTCTGCAATTTATTTTCTGAAACTGCTCAAAATTATAATCTATCAGCAATAAGGAATTGTGATCCCTATGATTAAGAGAGCAGGTAATTTGCAGTGCATATTTGGAATAAACTGTGGTATGTATAGTTGAAAAAAAGGGGTAAATAAACCATTTAGAGTGACAGATAGAAAAATCTTTCTTTGCACTCTGTTTTGGGGGAGCAGGCAAGGTTGTGCACTTTTGTAAAGTTTTAGACAAGAAATACTTTTGTCAATTTAATGGTAGTAGAATCCCTTACAGCAACTATTAGGAACTGAATATAGATTTTCAAAAATTATAATCTCTTTTGGAATACAACCAAGTCACACCCCTATAAAATTACCCTGAAATCATCAGAAGAGTAAATTAAAGTGACACTTCTAGGAACGGCTGCATTATTTTTATAGGCCATTGGGACTCCTTTAGCATTTAATATGTGCTTCAATTCATCCTTGCTCAAGAATGGCATTAATTTAATATGCATTATTTTCTGCATCACAACACTAATTGTACACTGAAAGAGAACCAGAAAAAATAATTATCACAAGCACTTGCTCCATTTGCAATAGCATGATTTTTAAGTATATTTGTTTGCTTTCATTTGAAGTCTCCAATTAAATAGTCATTTTATTTACTGTCTACTTCAACTATAGAATCTAGCCCTGAAAAGAGCAATTTGATTAATATGGCTTACCCTTGTCTTCACTTCAACATCACTGGAAAGCATACAGTAAAATTAGAGAATGTATAAAGAAACTGATTAAAAAGAAAACATACCAGACACACAGACTTCATCTCAAAAACAGTTCAGAGGAATGGATTATTTTATTCTGTCAAGTGAGCTATCTGGATTAATGTCTGAAACATACCACTTTAGTCACTACCTTCGGCTACCCAATCTTGAGGAAAACCCTGCAGTGCCCCAGGGCACTGCACAGGCACTGCTGCGTCCTCCTGAACACACACACAAGCTCTGCACTGTCCCCCTGTCCCACGGTAAGGCATGGCTGTGACAGGCTCTGAACTATTTCCAGCGGTGGGAGAGACACTGAAGAAGCCTTCAGAAAACCTTACCCAACTATCTCCTTAGTCCTTTCAGACTTTAGACTCTGAAAATTAAATATTCGTTCATTCAGCATGTAGGGTAGGAAAAGAAGGAAGACTTTTTTTTTCTCTAGAACTGTAAAAATAAGGTCTTTTTAAGAAAAACCATTAAATAAGAAAAATAAAGTGAAAGAAAAGTGTCTTCTTCACAGCTAGAGATTCTGAAACTCAGGACTCAGACACAATAAAAAGGGAACATGCGGTTGTTAAAAATTACAGTTCCTCAGAAAGAATTTCTGTCTAGCACAGAAAATTCAGTAACAAACTCTGACAGCTTCCAATGTCCCCAGATGTGGCTTTAGTAGATTGCAAAAAATTACTACTGAAATTTTTTAACTTAATTTCTCTTTAATCTTGTACATTCAGCTGCTATATTTAAATAAAACTTTTCAAGTAGAAGGATATTTGAAATACCTTTAAGGTACGATATTGCCTTATGTCACAGCATTCCAGATAAATGTGACTAAAACTTGCATTCAAGGTAAAGGTCTCACTTGGGTATTTTTCCTTGAACCAGTGATAAGTAGCTCCACGCACCAAATGAACACTTTACTTTCATTACTCCTACTACTCCTCTCTTAAACCCTGCCTACCAGCAACCTCAGCCTGTGAGGAAAAAAAAACCAGAACAAGAAAGCAGTTAAAAATATCTATATGACATCAGGGTTCAAAGGCCCTGAGCAGAACAGGTTGTCATTAACTAACATAACACATATATATACCAAATTTCAAAGTAATTTTAAGAATTGTTAATACTTACAAAAGCAGTAGAACAGTCCTTTTGTGCACATTTATTACTCTAATAGATATTAGGAGGCTAATACTAGCAATTAGGAGACTAGATATTAGCTAAGCACTTCAGTATATTAGATACCGTGATTTTGACTCCCCTTAACTCTGTTATGATACAGCGCAGTTGATACAGCAATAGAGTAGCATACCATCAACTTACTGTTTTGATATTTCAAAGATTATGATGAAAAAATCACGTCACAAATTTACCACCTCGTGGATGGTATTTTGGGGCTACGCCAAGAAAAAAAAGTAGCAATTCTTCTGAACATTGTAATTATTTTCTGCTTACTATTTCTCTATATAAAATATCTATTAGGTTCTTCCACCTTGTTCCCACAAGTATATTTTTCACCTTCACTTTGACAAGTCTCCTTTTACTTGCCAAGAACAGAAAGAAAATGTAATACATACTTACTTAGGCAGTAAGAGCAAACATGACTTATTTCCT